CCCCCTTCCCCCTCCACCATCATCATGGGCTCATTTTGGACAGTTACCCGCTTTGTGGTCACTGTAGGTGCGTGCAGATGAAGGGGACTCACATTAACAATGTCATATGCAAAGGAGAGCTTGAAGACCCAATCCAGCTCGATGTCGTTATTCTGCAAAACATCCTGAAAAAGCAGAAAATGGAGGAGATTGTTATCAATAAAAGTCTACTGCACGCAGGACCCCCCCAAAAAACAACCCCCCCAAAAAAATACTCCCTAACAATCACAGCCCCCACTATGTCCTGATCTCTGTGTTATGGGCTACCAAGTGTAAAACACTACTTCCTTTAAAATATTTGTTGTGCCGTCCAAAGTGAAGTAGATATTGGCAGTCGGCTGGAGGGATGAGAATGGAAATGTAACCATTGACTGTTAGGGGCTTTGGGGAAATATTGGGGGTCTACACAGACCGATATTTCGCTTTCCAAATCGAAAGAGATGCAGGACACAGAGCCCTCAATCTCCCTGTCAGTCAAAACGGGTCGAATGGAGCCCCTTCGCGTCAAACTGTGCGGGGTTCTTTGTATTCGAACGCACCTGCACGCCTTGAAATGGGAAAATGTAGCGTTTGGCTGGAACATCCGTCAATAGACATGTAACCACATACAACAAAAATCTGTTTTGTTATTTTCAGATCCATTCGGATTTTAAATTTTCATTTCGGATCTATTTGGATGGGGGTTCTTTGATGTAAAATGAATTAATTATTTTTGGGGGGTTTTGGGGGGATAATTTTAGTCTTTACTGGTCATCTTATATAGTTACATATGTTTCCCTGAAAGTAAGACCTAGCACTATCTTCAGGGATTTCTGTAATATAAGACCTACCCCGAAAATAAGACCTAGTTCGGTGGTAGATCTCATATTACAGAAATCCCTGAAGATAGTGCTAGCTCCCTCCTACCCCGAAAATAAGATCTAGTGTCTTTTTTCGTAGAAAAAAAAAATATAAGACACTGTCTTATTTTCGGGGGAAACACGGTAGTTAGGTTGAAATAAGACACAAGTCCATCGAGCTCCACCTATAGAGATACTGGTCATCATAGTCTGTACTGGTCATCTTATACTGGTCATCATAGTCTGTACTGGTCATCTTATACTGGTCATCATAGTCTGTACTGGTCATCTTATACTGGTCATCATAGTCTGTACTGGTCTTCTTATACTGGTCTTCTTATACTGGTCATCTTAGTCCATACTGGTTATTTTAGTCTGTACTGGTCATGTTAGTCCGTGCTGGTCATTTTGGTCAGATTTTGTTTTAGTACAAAACAGGCAAAATTTGGAACAAAAATTTGGATTCATTTGCGTTAGAATTCAGGAAATTAGATGCATTAAAATTTCCAAATTTAACAAAATTTGTCCAAATTTCCATTCGGAACAAAATTAAATTTACACGTCTATCTGTCAACATGAACCCTTAAACTGCCCAGTGCACTGCATCATGTAACAGACCTGGTCAGACATGCTCCTTCTCTGGTCAGACATGCTCCTTCTCTGGTCTGGCACGCCCTTTCTGTGGTCAGACACACCCCCTCAGCACTATAAGCCTGGGTTTGGATGCTTGTGATGAGCAGTGTGTCCTTAAAGGAGAACTATGGGGTAAGTGTTTTTCCCCATAGTTCTCTTAAGGGTAACGAGAGGACATATACTAACCTCCTCCCGTGACCCAAAGCTCAGTATATCGCGAGCTACAGCTCCCTATATACTGAGACCGCCGCAGCCGGGACGGATCCCGACAATGCTGTCGTGATCCACCCAGCTGCGTGATTGACAGCTGGCTCTGCCTATCTAGAGGCAGAGCCAGCTGTGCCCACCCCCTCCCCCGTCCGTTCCGCCAGTCAGCGCTGGAGGATCGGAGCGGGGAGGGGGGGAATCCCTGCAGGGAGCCGTGAGTGACAGTCACCACTCTCTGCGGGAAGATGATCGAGAAGTGAGCGAGCGCCGGTATGTGTTCGCTCACTTCCCGATCTATTGAGCCGGCGTGTGACAGTTTCATTGTCACAGGTCGGCTCCAACTATGAGGATGAGTGAAAATCACCCCCCTCATAGTTCTCCTTTAAGCTGCTTTGGCATTCCCATTGACTTGTATGGGGAGAAGAGCAGCTCTCCTAATAAACTGAACCGGCCAATCAAAACTCATTAGAACAACCTGTTTTGAAAACATTTGATTTTGGATGGTTCCTTCAAATCCTTTTGTATTCCGTGCACCTCATGTCATCGCTAAGTGAGGAGAATAACTCATTGAGTGTCTCTAATAGTGGTCTAGACCGTATGTGGAGAGGATGAGCCCCGGTACCTTCAGACTGCCCTTCTTGCAGTATTGGGTCAGGATGCAGATATTGGGGGGTTCGATGCAGACACCGAAAAAGGTGATGAGGTTCTCGTGTTTCAACTCTCGGATCTGAAGAAGGAAATCAAATCAAAGGCTTTAGAGAACTCACACTTCCCAACTCTGCTCGTAATGCGGCTGAGACCTCTGCTTTACTAACATATTAGGGGCAGGCAGAGGACCTGAACATGGAACCTCTGGGCCGAAAACAGCAGACAAAGGGCTCATCACCAGTGTTCCCTACAGACTCCCTACAGCTCAATTCCCATTTACTGACTTGCAATGCCTTCTTCTGCACTGTTTCTCTGTGTAGAGGTGGCCATCTTGGTAGAGGATTAGGGCCTTGCTTCCTCATGTCAGAGCTGCTCTCCTGATGACCTGATGACTGGAGGGGGAATATTTAAAGGGGAACTATGGGGTCAGGGCTTTTCCCCATAGTTCACCTTAGGGTAACGGGAGGACACAAACTAGCGTCCTCCCGTCACCCTAAGCTCAGTATACCGCGAGCTACAGCTCCCTATAAACTGAAACACCGCAGCTGAAACGGATCCCAACAATTGTGCCGGGATCCGCCCAGCTGCGTGAGTGACAGCTGGCTCTGCCTAGCTAGAGGCAGAGCCAGCTGTACCCGCCCCCTCCCCCGTCCGTTCCGCTACTCAGCGCTGGCGGATCGGAGCGGGGAGGGGGGAATCCAGCCTCACCCCTGTCACGACAGAGAGCCGTGACAGGATCGAGAGGTGAGCAAACGCCGGTATGTGTTCGCTCACCTCCCGATCTACTAAGCCGACCTGTGACAGTCTCATTGTCACAGGTCGGCTAGAACTATGAGGTGAGGGAAAAGCACCCCCCCCTCATATTTCTCCTTTAAGAAGCAGAAGCAGGAGGAGGCAGAGATACATAGAACAGATGAAGCAGGGAGATCCGTGCATTGCAGCTCCTCAGGTACAGCTTCCTCTCCAGCAAGGAGAACAGTGAGCAGCAGACAAGGGACATCACCAAATCTCTTAGATGATCTCACACCGCAGATACACAGCTTTCACCGGTGAAGTTCAGCATTGGAAGCTTTTTTTATACAAGATGTCCTCTAAGCTTGGCACACACTCACCATGCGGAATTCCTTCAGCACGGATTGCTTCTTAACTCGGAAAGGTGCCATTTGGTCAGTGAGGTACTTAAGGGCCACGTGAGTACCCTGAAAAAGAAAACAAAGCAAAGAGACATTAATGTACCCCAAAATCCAACAGTAATGCCGTGTCACTGTATCTGTGGAAGGAAGTGAACTGTATACGGGACACACTGAAGCCCATATTCAGTAATGTTCTCCACCGGAAGATTCCAGACTCGGGATCATTCCTGAGTGGTCACCTTGTAGACGCCGATGACGGTGTAAAAGATCTCTTTTCCTTGCTTGTCTGTGAAGCCGCAGCTCGGGTTGCTGGAGATGACAGCGCTGGAGCCCAAACTCCCGAACCGCTTCGATGCTGACGGCGTACTGGAGGGCGTTTCTCCAGAACTGGCCTATGAGATACAAGAGAAGAGTCACGGCACGAACGATCTGCTCATGTCATCTATTGTATGGAAAATGTGTTCAGAACCCGTTCTTTATTCATCGATCAATTCCTTCATATTAGTGAATAAGGGGTTGAAGGACTCTGCTGGAGGACTCTGCTCCTTCCTCTATGACTCTCCTCTCCTGGAATACTCGGCTCTGCTTGAGGACTTTGCTCCTTCCTCTATGTCTCTCCTCTCCTGACATACTCTGCTGGAGGACTCTGCTCCTTCCTCTATAACTCTCCTCTCCTGATATACTCTGCTCTGCTGGAGGACTCTGCTCCTTCCTCTATGACTCTCCTCTCCTGAAATACTCTGCTGGAGGACTCTGCTCCTTCCTCTATAACTCTCCTCTCTTGGAATACTCTGCTCTGCTGGAGGACTCTGCTCCTTCCTCTATAACTCTCCTCTCCTGAAATACTCTGCTCTGCTGGAGGACTCTGCTCCTTCCTCTATAACTCTCCTCTCCCGAAATACTCTGCACTGCTGGTGGACTCTGCTCCTTCCTCTATAACTCTCCTCTCCTGGAATACTCGGCTCTGCTGGAGGACTCTGCTCCTTCCTCTATAACTCTCCTCTCCTGGAATACTCTGCTCTGCTGGAGGACTCTGTTCCTTCCTCTATAACTCTCCTCTCCTGGAATACTCGGCTCTGCTGGAGGACTCTGCTCCTTCCTCTATAATTCTCCTCTCCTGAAATACTCTGCTCTGCTGGAGGACTCTGTTCCTTCCTCTATAACTCTCCTCTCCTGATATACTCTGCTGGAGGACTCTGCTCCTTCCTCTATAACTCTCCTCTCCTGAAATACTCTGCTCTGCTGGAGGACTCTGCTCCTTCCTGTGACTCTCCTCTCCTGATATACTCTGCTGGAGGACTCTGCTCCTTCCTCTATAACTCTCCTCTCCTGATATACTCGGCTCTGCTGGAGGACTCTGCTCCTTCCACAATCTAATACTCCTTAGATACTTTGTCTCCAGGATATGGATATTATACCTTGTTGTCCTTCAGAATTGTGATGTCTTCATATATAACCTGCCACCAGGTGTCGCTGTCAAATCTTTTCCTCAGTTTTCCTTTCTGAACTAAAACAAACATGACAAACAAAACTCCTCCCGCAGAGATGAGGACGAGGGTGACGATCAGAGCGATCACCGGGGTGTCTGCAATAAGAAGGGGGAACAATATAAGAGGTAGCAGAGCTTACAATCTATCAGGTATAAGGGTGGATACCAAAGGGGGAGGAGCATACACTCTATTAGGTATAAGGGAGGATACAGAAGGCAGAAGAGCTTACAATCTATTAGGTATAAGGGAGGATACAGAAGGTAGAAGAGCTTACAATCTATTAGGATATAAGGGAGGATACAGAAGGGGGAGGAGCTTACAATCTATTAGGCTATACGGGAGGATACAGAAGGTAGAAGAGCTTACAATCTTTTAGGATATATGGGAGGATACAGAAGGGGGAGGAGCATACACTCTATTAGGGTATACGGGAGGATACAGAAGGTAGAAGAGCTTACAATCTATTAGGGTATAAGGGAGGATACAGAAGGCAGAAGAGCTTACACTCTATTAGGATATAAGGGAGGATACAGAAGGCAGAAGAGCTTACACTCTATTAGGGTATAAGGAAGGATACAGAAGGGGGAGGAGCTTACAATCTATTAGGATATAAGGGAGGATACAGAAGGTAGAAGAGCTTACACTTTATTGGAGTATAAGGGAAGTGGAATCTACAATACATACAATATAAAACGTCTGGCGCACTCACCGGTTATCGCCACCTTGCACAGCTCGTTGTAGAAGCCGCAGTCTGGGCGGTCCCTGGGGCGTTTCGGTCCCGGCCAGCTGATGTATTGGAAGGAATCTGTACGACTGACACAGGAAACAATTAAAACTGAAGTAAAGGACGCCAATCCTCCCCTCCGCTCTAACTATGCAATATCCTTAATATTCCCCCACCCCCCCCCCCGG